AAAAAAAAAAGAGTTTGAGACTAGCCTGAGCAAGAGCAAGACCCTATCTCTACTAAAAACAAAAACAGAGGCAAGAGGATTGCTTGAGCCCAAGTTGGAGGTTGCTGTGAGCTATGATGCCCTGGCATTCCACCTGTCTCAAAAAATATAAAACAAACAACAACAACAAAAGAATAGAACAGCCTCAGAAATATTATCAGCCTCCATGTATTGAGTACTTTCTCTGTGCTTTAAAGTGTCAGTCTTCATGCAGTCTTGTATTATAGATGCTGCTGCTGCCTTAAAGAGGGAAAAACTGCTCAGAGGTTCAGGGACTTGGCAAAGGTCACACAGCCAGCAAGTGATAAAGCCTGGGGTCAAACCCAAGTCTGTCTACCTAAAAAGCCACCCACTGTTTCCACTGCACATCCTGCCTTTTTAAACAAGGTGAGGACAGTGCAGTGGAACAGGAAGCACAGCTGGAATGGACATCACACGGGTTGGGCTCTGCAAGAAAGGCTCACCTCCTCTAGGAAGACTTATATGTGTCATCTCACTCCACCATCCTCCTTGTCTCTGAATCTCCACCTTTTGTTCTCAGGATACACTCTCTACTCCTAGTTATTTATTATTTTTATTGTTGAGGATTCATTAAGGGTTCAGAGACACTCCTAGTTATTTTTTAGGGGATCTTTTTACTACCTCTGATCTCACTCCCATGATCTACCCTTTTTACTACTTTTGATCTCACTACCAAATCCTTCATTGTCAGCTTCTTTGGGTATTGGGGTTGTGACTTTCCTGGCACTCGTATGGACTCTGCAGCATTAGCTACTGGGGCTGCCACCAGCATCAGAAGGGCTCTGACTACTCTCTGTTGGCCTTGCCCTGCTGTGAGGATTTACAGCAGTAGATACCCAGGCTCAGGTGGGAAGTTGGGCTTTTCTTACTGAGGCCTCTGCTTTGAAGACAGATCTTGGAGCTGCCTTGGAAGGAGGAAACTTTCTTGGTGTTGCAGTCACTCCTGGAGCGTCAGGTGAGCAGGCCACCTAAGGGAAGAGTGGACAAAGAAGTGCCCTCATGCTGTGGAGGAATGTGGGGCTCTTGGGTTTCTGAGTCCTTTAGTGATGGAAGGTGCCCTGTGACAGTGGCTTGTAAGCCAGCAACAGCTAGCTGACTGCATGGTCAGTCTAGCTCCACCTCTTATTAGCTGTAGGTCCTTGGATTGTGATTTTTTGATGTATGTGTCAATTTAATTTTATTTTTGAATAGGTAATAGATGCTGGGCGCCTGTGGCTCAAGCGGCCAAGGCACCAGCCACATACACCTGAGCTGGTGGGTTCGAATCCAGCCTGGGCCCTCCAACAACAATGATGGCTGCAACTAAAAAATAGCCGGGCATTGTGGCGGGCAGCTGTAGTCCCAGCTACTTAGGAAGCAAAGGCAGGAGAATCGCTTGAGCCCAGGAGTTTGAGGTTGCTGTGAGCTATAATGCCACGGCACTCTACCCAGGGCGACAGCTTGAGGCTCTGTCTCAAAAAAAAAAAAAAAAAGAATAGGTAATAGATACATATATTCACAATTTTATTTATTTATTTATTTATTTAGAGACAGAGTCTTATTATGTCGCCCTTGGTAGAGTGCTATGGCATCACAACTCACAGCAACCTCAAACTCTTGGGCTTAAGCGATTCTTTTGCCTCAGCCTCCCAAGTAGCTGGGGTTACAGGCACCTGCTCCAATGTTCAGCTGTTTTTTTATTGCAGTTGTCATTGTTGTTTAGCAGGCCTGGGCCAGGTTCAAATGTGCCAGCCTCGGTGTATGTGGCCAGTGTCCTACTCACTGAGCTACGGGGCCCTGAGCCATATATTCACAATTTTAAAAGCCAGGAAGGATATAGTGAAAAATACTCCCTTATTTCTCTCCCTCAGCCATCCAGATTCCCCTCCCAGGGCTAGCTAGTGTTAGTAGTTTTCAGGGGAACCCTCTGAGAGATGCCATAAATAAAGTAGAACCTCTGTAAGTTGACCATCCAAGGGACTCTAGCAAACTGGTCAACATATGGAGGTGGTCAACATAAGGAACTATCCTTACTGTGCTGATATGTACATGTGGTGCATGGGTGGTCTGTGAAAATTAGGTCAACTTAAGGAGGTGGTCAGTGCAGGAAAGTGGTCAACTATGAAGGTTCTACTGTATATGGAAACGTGTTTGAATTGCCACCCTATGTTTTTTTTTTTTGAGACAGAGCCAAAAAAACTCTGGGGGCTCAGGGGCTCAAGCTATCCCCCTGGGCAGAGTGCTGTGGCACCACAGCTCACAGCAACCTCCATCTCCTGGGCTCAAGCGAGTCCCCTCCCTCAGCCTCCCAAGTAGCTGGGACCACAGGCGCCCGCCACAATGCCTGGCTATTTTTTTTGGTTGCAGCCGTCATTGTTGTTTGGCGGCTGGGCTGGATTCGAACCCGCCACCTTAGGTGTATGTGGCTGGCGCCTTAGCCACTTGAGCCACAGGCGCCAAGCCCCTATGTTTTTTTCTTTTGAGACAGTATCACTTTGTTGCCTTGGGTAGAGTGCTGTGGCATCATAGCTCACAGCAACCTCAAACTTCTGGACTCAAGTGATTCAATTGCCTCAGCCTCCCAAGTAGGTGAGACTACACATGCCTGCCACAATGCCCTGCTATTTTTTAGAGACGGGGTCTGGTTCTGGCTCAGGCTGGTCTCAAACCTGTTAGCTCAGGCAATCCACCTGCCTTGACCTACCAGAGTACTAGGATTATGGGTGTGAGCCACCACACCCAACCCTGACCATGCCTGTGTTGTATGTAGATTATAACACACCAAGCTTAGTGTTCTCTATATCTAGCTTTTTTTACTTAACAGTATATTTTGGTACTTATTTCGTATCAGTATCTAAAATTCTGCCTCATTTGTTTATATCTTAGGTAATTGACTAAACTTCTTTATGCCTCAGTTTTCTCATCTACAAAAGAGGAGTTATGATAGCACTTACCACATAAGACTAGGGTGAGATCTAAATGAGTTAACTGCTATAAAGTGCTCAGAATGGTGCCTATGCCTATTAAATTATAGTGTTTATTAAACTGTTATTATGAAGAGCTAGGTTATTATGCTGGCAGTGTCCCTTGGGACCTTTCTCTCCTTTATTTGTTAAATCACTGAGCCAGACTAGAGATCTTTGGCTTCCCCTTAGTCCTAATCTGAGCCTTTGTAATAGTAGCCACCATTTTCTGAGACCTGTGTATCAGGTTTTATGTACATTGTCTCTGTCTTTAATCCTTCTCACAGTCTTCAGAGTTTAATATTTAGGGCTTCATTGTATAGATATGGAAACTGAGGCTTTGCTTGGTTAAGTGATCTGCCCAAAGTCATCCAGCTAGAAAGTAGAAGAGTTGAGAATTGGATCCAGGGCTGGCTGAGGGAAGAACCCAGGCCTTTCTTGTGATACTTTTCATCCCTCAACGTGTGCAGGTGGAGATGACTCCGGAGAAGTTTGCTATTTTGATGGAGAAGCTCTGCAAAGAGGGGCTGGTAGCCACCACCTCCGTGGCCTATGCCAAGCTGATGCTGACAGTGATGACCAAGTACCAGGCCGATGTGAGTGTTGATAGGGCCATGGGGGCTGGTCCTGCCACAAGAGTGTAGTGTACAGATGTGTTTTCCTTGGATAAAATCTTGAGCATTAGAGAAACTATGAGTTTACGGCCAGGACTGGGAAATGGGCCTGCTTAGGAGTTGGTTCATCTAGCCAGCACCTCTTTGGACCAGTTGGTATGTGGGGCATTGGGAAACTGGCAGGAACTATAATGCAAGGACCTTGAATTGACTCTGTCCCCCAACCCTGTGACATGTAGCACCATGTCAGAAGAAAAAGCTTGGCCCAAAAGGAAGGTAGCAGTGTCTAAACCTTGAGTTTCCTGGTCTGTAAAATTGGGAGGGTTGTGAGGATTATATGAAGTATACGTATGTGCATATATGAAGTAATGCATATAAATGCCACATACTAGACACCCAATAATTGTCAACTATATTAAAGTAGCCAGCTGAGTATGTTGCGTACCTAGTATTTGACTCCAGGTCCACCTGAATCCTTGGTTGGTTAACCATGGTGAAAATAGTGAGATTAGATTGCTTAGGAGTCTCCTCTCCTCATCCCCCATGCTCCCTTCCTCTCTCCTTCCTAAACAGAGCCCATGAGGTTGGGGGGAGATGGGAGGGATCAGCTGCTAGAGTCCTGACAAGATTCTTTCTTCTTCCCAGATTACTGAGATCCAGAGGCTGAGCCTGGCTGTGGCCCTAGAGCCCAACACCACCTTCATGAGGAAGTCTCTTCAGGCTGCCTTGAGACATTTGGGCCCCTGACTATGCAGAAAGAGGCCATCTTCCTCCATCACCAGCTACCTGAAGGACATTTCTTCTTTGACCATCTTTCCCTGACCCCTTGTCTGGGGGTAAAGGCTGATCCTGGCCATTCCAGGGACCAACTATCTCTGTGTTCTGGGCTGCAGAGAGGACATCTTGGCTTCCCAGCCAGCTTCTGGGCCAAAGGAGCTGGATGAGCTATATTTTCAAGGGCTGCTGGCTTTGGGATCACTTTTTGTCAAGTCTCAGACTACAGGGACAGAAACTTTCCAGTAAGCCTTAGTAGTCCCCAGCAGACCCAGAGTATGATGTTTTAGGACATCTGTAGCACCTGTGTGCTCAGCACCAATCTCTTGTTCTTGGGTGTATGTTATGGTCCTCTGTATTTTTGTTTCCTGGTTTGAATTATTATTTATCAATTGTATTTACTGAAAAGCAGGAACTTCAATGTCTTATTAGAGGCAGTGTCTGCCTTCCCATCCCAACTTCTTCCACTCTCCCGCTCATTGACAAGGGGCTTCCTTTTTCTGGTGAAGGGAAGATGGTAGAGTGTTAGGTCTGAAGTTCATTCATTATCTGTAGGCCAGACAATGTGTGATGCCACCCACCCCAGCCCTATGGGAGCTGTCTATTGAGTAAGTGATGCAGGCAGAGAACACTGGGCAGGCAGGTAGGTGGGAATACAGAGCTTAAAGGTGTGTGTCTCAGTTTGAGTTCAGGAAGGGTTTTTTGCAGATGACATTTGAGGAGGGATCTGAAGGGCTCCTGGGGCTATGGCTGACAAGAGGATGGGACCCACTGGGCAGAGGAAAGGACAATAAAGACATTATAGATGTGCTATGCTGTGGTCCTGTTTGTGTTTTTTTTTTTTTTTTTTGAAACAGAGTCTCATTATGTCGCCTTCAGTACAGAGCTGTGGCATCACAGCTCACAGCAACCTCTAACTCCTGGGCCCAGGCGATTCTCTTGCCTCAGCCTCCCACGTAGCTGGGACTACAGGTGCCCGCCACAAGGCCCGGCTATTTTTTGTTGCAGCTATCATTGTTGGTTAGCTGCCCTGACCCGGCCTTGGCCGGGTTCAAATCTGCCAACTTTGGTGTATGTGACTGGTGCTGAGTCCTGTGGTCCTGTTTTATATCTCTGTATTTCTGTAGCACCTAGTAGGTGCCTTGTTCACAGTAATCACTTAATACATAGTGTTTTCGGTTAACTATCAAATGAAAGCTCACTTCCCAGGTCTTCCGCGCTGCAGGAGATGTGGCAAGGAACCAAACTTCTTGACATTTCCCTTACCTTGACATTTCCCTTACTCCAGGAGTCCAAATTAGTGCAAGATGCTGAGGTAGGGAGGTCAGGCCTAAAAATAAAGCCTGCTTTTGAGCTGGCTTAGTGTCAGCTGGTGACTTCTCAGGGGTCATCTCCACTTGCACACATTGAAGGATGGAGAAGTATCACAAGAAAGTATTTTAGAAGCTGGTGTGGAGGGCGGGAGGGAGTAAGCAGAGAGAAATTTAGAGACAAACGTGCTGGAATTGCACGCTGTCAACAGTCATGGAGGCACCGTATGTGTGACTCCTGAAGCTGGAGCCCTGGACCCGAGGAGCGGAGCGCAGCGGCTTTGGCCTGAATGGAGATATACCCAGGGTGGGTGGAGGCACTCAGGATCGCTGAAAGTCCCGGCATCTTTGCGCGGCAGCACCCTCCAGCGGCAGCCGGCGGCGGCGCTCCTCGGGCTGAGCGACTTGACCACACACCGGTGATAGGCCACGAGAACGAGGCATTTCTCGCGAGATCAGGGAGACTATTTGTGCGTATGCACGGGCCACCCTAGTCTCTTTTCCGGTTATCGCGGCGTGAGCAGCCATGAGGTGAGTGGTGCTGAGAAGGTTATCCGCGTACATCTGCCATCTCCAAGGGCCTCGCCAGGGATGGGGACTTTGCACGTTGAGTCGGGGGTCCTTGCGCTTGTTTGTCTCGGATCATATGTTGCAGTAGGTTGGCCTGCTTGTTTCCATTCTCGCCAGGTCTGCTCCCAGGAGATCCGGGTCGTGGATCTGGTTCTGGGGCCTTGTCGCCGCACTTTTAGCAGCAATGCCGGGTGGAGTGTGTCGTGGGCCATCTGTCCATCTCAAAGCCCGCCGAGGGTAAGGACCCCGCGGCGCCTTCGTCCTGAGCGCGCTTTGCTTTCTCTCCCGCAGCAGCAAAGTCTCCCGCGACACGTTGTACGAGGCGGTGCGAGAAGTCCTGCACGGGAACCAGCGAAAGCGCCGGAAGTGAGTGCGGACTCCCCGCTGCGGGCAGGGCAGGGCGGGGCGGTATGGAAGAGCTGGCGGCCAGCTAACTTTGTCCCTTTGTCTAAGGTTTTTGGAAACGGTGGAACTGCAGATCAGTTTGAAGAACTATGATCCTCAGAAGGACAAACGCTTCTCTGGCACCGTCAGGTTGGCCCCGTTCTGACCCCACCCAGCCCTCAGTGCCCTGGCGTCTGACTCCTCCCCTTCAGGCTCTTGCCGAGGCCGAGGCGGGCGCGTGCGGTACTGACGTGCCAGGGTAGTTCAGACCCTCTGCTCCGGCAGGCGCGGCTGGACGGACCCCCACCCTGGGTCTTAAAACATGAGGGGAGGCGAGGGGAGGCCTTGGCCAAACCCGCCGGCTAGTCTTGAGAAGCCAGGCTAGCTGTTGGTGAATGTGGATGCTCTGGGTAAGGCTGGGTGACTGACTCATAGACCTTCACCTGCTCTCACTACACAGAGCTGGCCATGATCTTTTCTGTCTCCTAAAACGCAGGCTTAAGTCCACTCCCCGTCCTAAGTTCTCAGTGTGTGTCCTGGGGGACCAGCAGCACTGTGACGAGGCCAAGGCCGTGGACATACCCCACATGGACATCGAGGCGCTGAAGAAACTGAACAAAAACAAGAAGCTGGTCAAGAAGCTGGGTCAGTGCAGTTTTATACTGGGGATGGGGGCGCCAGCGGTTTGCATGGGAGTGCTTTTTGCCGTTTTATATGTGCTATTTTGAGACTCGTCTCACTCTGTCATCCTGGGTTGAGTGTTGTGGTGTCATAGCTCACAATCTCAAACTCTTGGGCTCAAACAGTTCTGATTAGCTGGGATTTATAGACAGTCTTGCTCTGGTTCAGTATGGGCTCAAGTGATCCTCCTGTTTCAGTCTCCAGAGTAGCCAGGGCTATGGGCATGTGCCACAACACCCAGTTTGTTATTTATTTATCTTTTTCAGAGACAAGGTCTTGGCTCTAGCTCAGGCTGGTTTCTTTGAAGTCCTGAGCTCAAGCAGTCCACCTGCCTTGGCCTCCCAGAGTGCTAGAATTACAGGTGTGAACTGCTGTGCCCACGCGCCATTTTGACTTTTAGTTGATGAGGGGTAGAACCATAAAAGGGCTGTGTTGGTTAGGTGGCCTGAATGGGTAAATTTTAGCTTCATGGATGGTTTGTTTTAGATTTGTTTTGAGGATTCTATTATGTAAGGCAGGGGTGGTGGTGAAAGCAGGCATTGGTTTTGTTTGAACAGAGAGGTTCCCTGAAGTTGTCTTGCCAGGTGCTGGTGAGTTATGAATGGGAATTTCTGCTTCTTGAGTTCCAGTTTAGTTACTTCTTTTTAATGTTCCCCCTGTGCATGGTTTGGGCCAGCGGTTCTCAATCTTCCTAATGCCGTGAATCTTTAATATAGTCCAAAGGGGTTGCGACCCACAGGTTGAGAAGCGCGGTTTAGGCAGTTATACTAGACATGCTTTACAGATGGGAAAATGTCCCCATTTGTTACATGCCTAAGGTTTCCAGCTAGGAAGCAAGGCAGAATTTGAGCCCAGGCCAATTTTACCCCAGGATCCATTGCACAATGGAGATGGTGTGGATTGTGGGTCAGCCTGGTCTCTCAGACTAGGTTTCAGGACCAGTTAAGTGCAGAAGATGAAACTAATCACTAGAAATAGCATGAGTGTGGGGAAGGGTTAAAAGACTGGGTATCGGCTCAGCACCTGTGGCTCAAGTGGCTAAGGCGCCAGCCACATACACCTAAGGTTAGGTAGTGGGTTCGAATCCAGCCTGGGCCCACCAAACAACGATGGCTGCAACCAAAAAATAGCCAGGCATTGTGGTGGGTGCCTGTGGTCCCAGCTACTTGGGAGG